GGCAGAACAAACCGAGGTCCAGCCTAATGAATACAAGCTCGTGGCAGTCAGGACAATAAAAACATCAGCCGGCGTTAGTGGGCTGAAGAGTTTTCTGGGAATGACAATCCATCTCCGGAAAATTCATTCTACATTTAGTTCCAAAGGCGCATCCACTGACGGCGCTTTTGAGCTCCAAGAACGAAAAGGTCCGGCATTGTGAGCAGCAGATGGCTTATGACACATTGAAAGTAGCACCGACTTCAACCCCAGTACGTGCACCTTGTTTAATCCCAAGAAAATAACAGTGATCTCGGCAGTCGCCTCATTCTATGGCATTAGCGCAGTTCTTAGACAAAAAACAGAGCGACGACGCGCATCATCACGTTTAGAAGATATCCAGCTGAGACTACAACGCACGAAGCTACGCATCCCGAGATGCTCCCATGACGTAAAGCGTATTCCAGCTAAAGACCTAATCGTTGCTGATGTCTTGTCCAGAGATGCTCTTGCTGAAGCCCCATGCCGTCAAGTGGAAGAAGAGATCGACGCGTACGTTCACGGCGTCAAATCCCATTTCCCCGCCACTGGCAAAAGAACTTCAGCTAAGCCAGGAGGAACAAGAAAAAATATTTCACTTGTTAGCTATTGACTAGAGACTGTGCGGAGGGCTGGCCTATCAAATGTAAATAAGACGTGTAAAGAGTTTCGAAAATGCCGAGCCTATATTTTTATTAATGAGCGGCTTCTAATGAAAGCGTCAAGAATGTATGAACCCCGGTTCATGAGCGAAAACATCTTGAGGAAAGTACACCACGGGTATGAAGGCATCACCAAATTCCGGGCACGCGCACGCGGGTCTGTCTAACTGCCTAGCATATCGACTTAAATAGGAAAGATTGTCCGTCTGTGCCACCAGTGCATTCAAGAAACGAGCAACCGACGAGAGACGTTGATAGCGACGTCTTTCCCGGAAAGACCGTGGCAGCAAGTTGGCATGGACCTGTTTTGCCTTTCAGAAAAATAGTATCTGCTTCTCACCAATTATTATTCTAGGATCCCACACGTTACACCACGCATTAGCCTCTCAAAGTCATCCTTAATCCACCACCTGAAATCTATTTTTGATGGCATGGCACACCAGAAATTGTATTTAGAAACAATAGCCCACTATTTCAAAAGATCGACTCGTCAGACTTTTTTAAGTTTTTACAAAAGTGGGGCTTGCACCACAAAACTTTGTAGCTTACTTGTGATGATGGTGTTTTGACGGTGGCGCGAGTTTGCACAGCTGAGACTTTTATTACCTCAAGTGCAGGCTGGTGCTTTATATGGGTAGGCGAACGTTCGACTCTCATGGACGATGCGAACCCCGATTGGGTGCCCACCCAGCGTTTGGGGTTAAGAATGCGGTAAACAACCTCCACCCTTTACGAGCCTTCCGGTTGACATAGTGAATTTGAATTTTTTTTTATTTCAAATGGTTAGTTCAGTGATTTGAAACTTCGGAAGGAAACGTCATGTTGTAGACATGCATGTGGATGGTGTAACGTACGCACAATACACGATATTGAAAAGTGCACGAGCGGCAACGGCGTCCGCGTCTGCTTCTCAGTACCTGGTAAACGCGACCGGCGGGCGGGAATAGGAGAAGTGACGTCCCGTGAAAGCTATGTATAGTCAAAGGCAGGTGCATTTTTTCTTAGCAGAATTTTTATTTGCACATGTTGGAACACCTCAACTACCCTGACAAGTGTAATAAGGTACAGTAGTCAATAAACCCAAACGGCCTGGTTACATACAAAAACATGTGCAGATTAGGCAGAAGGCGCCCCCTTTGAGAGAAACAACGTCTCCAGAAAAAGAATACACATACAGAATACTGAAGTGGCAGGTATTGCCAGGCATTTGAAGCAAAGCTTCTCGAAGCGCGATATATCAATCCACATTTCGCCACCACTCACACGGAACTAACCGTCTTTTTATTGATGCCTCCTCGGCATACTCATTAATCTCCCATTCTGGATTGAAAACCGCTTTGGTTTTCCGTGTACTTTTCGCCAAGTGTAAATTGCCTCCCAACGAATCGTTTGAAGGCAATTCGGCTTGTTTCTCTATCTACGTTACAGCTTCTGACTGAATTCCTTCTGTTGTAGTACTCAAACCTTGCTCTTCCAGCACTATATAATACCAAAGCAAATTTTACTTTTCGGCTTTGAAAAACGTTGACTTGAAATGTGGTTCTAGGAACATGGCAATGCATGCTTGCTTGTATCTAGAAAACACGGTTAACCATGCCTTGATAGACCTAGCCAGTTGTGTGGAAAACTCTGACGTACCGACACAGTTACCTATAGGCAGTTCAGCATACCAAATATCATAATATTACTGGGATGACTGCGATGGATATTTCTAAGCGCTGGTGATAACACTGACGTCGAATAGTAGCTTCAATGCTTCTACATTTTCGGAAGCATTTTTTTATTTGATGAACCATAGTTGATGACAGGCTTGTACGTCAGTGAAAGCTCCACCTCCAGCACGCAATTGTCTTTCAGCGGTTTTCGGCTACGCGGGCGTCGAAGTGTTAACAAAGACATAACGCTCGAGCTGGAGGCGAAGCGCGCATTGAAGTCTTAGCCGGCCACCAACAATAAGTTCATCGATTCTACATTCTGAGATGGCAAGCTCTACCGTGACTGCTTTTTTGATGTCCAGAGGGCGAAGCAAAATTCTAGGGACTGGCTCTTCCACCCCGTCGCAACATCCTGCACCAGACCTAGAGTGCCTTTATCTATCTTCTAGAATTCCTCCAGCGCTGATGAACTGTGCTTCTATAATGCCGTACAATATGCCTTGCCTTCTTGCACAGGCAATCAACGGCCGGAGTACAGGAACCTGCGTCAATTATCACCAGCTGGAGGGTATGCGGAAAGCAGGAGTTTTCAGCACAGAAGCTTCCTTACAGTAGCCCGCGGATGGTGCGCCCGTTATCTGTTACAAAAGCAACACATCCTTCAAAAATTTCACAGTCGTGGCTCATTTTGCCGAGCATATAACGTGCGATGTTCCCATCAGAATGGTTGGCTGCCATGTGACGACTTTTGAATGCGTACCACTTCGTTTGGAAATTTCGAATGAGAAGATGGCAGGTGCGGCTTACATAACTTTGGTTCCTGCGTCATGTCCACAAGTTACCTGTGAAGACAACAGTGGTAATGCGGGTAGTGCGACCTTCGAACGCCCTGATGAGCAGCGCTTTCACCTTCTTTCGGGTGTCGCCATACATGCTCGGCACAATTATGGCCGAAAGTGTACAGTGGGACGATAGGCTGCAGTTAGGAACCGCTTCTGTCATAAGTTCTTTACGATCGCGTACTTCCACAATGCTGTAGGCGCTACCATGGAGGCCAGGTTATTACTTAGTGCTGGTGTGTTCCTTTATGACAAGGTCTCTGTACGGCGCACAAAGTTCGTCAGCCCTGATTGATCTTTTCCTTGCGTACCCACATTCATCGCTCTATACTTTTTCATGCTGGGTGCAGTTCCAGATGGTTGACAAAGGGCGTTCTGGTACCTGTCAGTGCTTAAAATGTTAAATAGCATGTTGTAAATTGCGCCGTTCGTGCCGTCTCTCTTGCAAAGCATTCTCAAATGGCACTCCTCCCTTTTGGTTTAAACGCTGTTCTTTCGCTTCGCAGACGGCTCATGTCAATCGTTTCCGTCCACCATAACACGAATGGGCAATGCAGCACAACTCTGGACGCACCATTGTTAAATCACAAGTTAATTAGTCTCAAAGAAATGCGAGTGCGAGCCACAGTTTATCACATCGATGTTTGGAAAGGCGCGGCGCGAAGTGGCTATGCTATGTTGTAACTGTCGATGAGCCTTTCTCACGAAAACCGAAAACGAAACTGGAGTTTGCAAATGCGCTCTCGAATAATCGTTTCTTTTCGAATATATTTTGCACGTTGAATATTTGAAAATTAAAAAAAGACTTAGTTTACGAATCAACTACGGATAATAAATTTAGAATATTAGATTCGTATACGATATTTCAAATATTCACTCACCCCTAGTATCAAGTTTTGTTATAAAATGGTTTTATAGGCAGTTAGTTGAGCGATAAAACTGTCAATGAAATTGTTCTCTTCTCTTCGCTATTTACCTTCTTCTCTCACCGAAGACATTGTAGTCTACTGAACGTTAGTTAATGTGTGTTGATATTTTGTAGATAATATATCAAAACGACGAATTGTCTCTTACTTTTCGCGACATTTCCATGGAAAATGGGAGTGCGCGTGCGCGGCTTTCATCGACGCTCAAGCACGCGTGACTGCAGACTGGACTGCGTTGCCGCACACAGTGGTCCCCGGTTACAAGAGGGCTCACCCTCGCTCAGGATGAGAGCTATCGCGCCCGCCAGGCCGGCGCAGAGCAGTGCGGTTGCGTGGGAGGTGCGGCGTCCTATCCTGGCTGCCGACACAATGGCGCCCAGCTCGGCCGGGATCTCGAGCACTGCCGCGAGGGTCATCAAAGCGCTCGGGTAGAAGCCGAAGCACTGGATCTTCACCGCAGCCGTCTGCGTTGTGAACGATGTCACGGTCCTGCGTCCCCAGGCATACCCTTTTTGCGAAGGGGAAACACTCTTACATGATCTCCTTCAGTAACAGTTCTAAAGCGCAAACCGCATGGAGCGTTTTTGCTCGCGATTCAGGCGCGTCGGCGTCAAATTGACGTCATTTCCTGCGCGCGGCCGCGCGTTTTCGCGGGAGCGTTGGTTTCTAGCCGACCCAGAACAAGACGCGCGCGCCGAGGCGTCGAAGCGGCTCTCGACCAATGAGAGTCGCTCGAACCATCACATGGCTAGGTGGCGTAAGGTACCGCCCGGTCCAAAGGGCTCAGCCGTATTCATCCATTCATCCATCCATCCATCCATCGATCGATTCTGCACAGAAAACCGCTTCTGGTTTTGGCGGTTTGACTGCGCTTCTTTTTGTTTGCCGATTGCACGTGCGATGGTTGACAAACGTGCATTCAATGAAATGCTCATTGACGAGGTTGAGAAGCGCCCCATTCTTTGGGACCTATCAGATAAGGAGTATAAAAATAATGACAAGAAGAAACATGTCTGGAATACCATAGGTACTATCCTGGGATTTGAAGGTATGTGTTTTCTTTGCCCTTTCGCTTTGGTGCCACAAGCACCATGTGCATGCTGCTTTTTACGCGTTGTCATCGTACAATTCTATCGTATAGTGTTTTACTAAGGGGAAATAGTTTGTGCTTTGTCACAACGGTGCGCAGATTATACGTTGCCATTGAACACGATAATTTTTCTACGGATCTAGACAGTTTTTTTTCATGACACCGAGGGGGAAAAAACGCGTTTTGTGCCGTTTAATTGAACAGAAAAAAAAATGGGGTGTGCGTTTGTTTATACAATTCCCAGCTGTAGATGAGCAATTTAGCCAGTGCAGTACCACCGCTAGCCTGGGTTCTTGTGCACCACGCAGTAGTGATACATGACCGTACGCCGGTATGATGCTTTTCTAGATCGAAACGGGCAGGGGTGGTGATTGAACCCAGGATCCCTGGGTTCTGCAGCGCAAGCTTTCGGTCCACGTGCTCCGAGCTGGTGTGCGCTAAACGACTCGGCCACCGACAACGTTAACCACCAATCCCTCCTAACAAAAAAAAAAACAAAAAAAAAATGAAGAAGGCTAGGGCAGCGAATTTCTTCCTTCTCTTTAGATCAAACATTTACCTAGTCCAAACGTGTTTTTTTTTCTTCTCGGTAGTAGAATGTCTATATTTGCAGGTTATGACTGGTTATGTTCTTTTAATGTTTTAACAAAACTTTGTACCACCTAGTTGCACTTTTTTTGCTACAGCACCACAGCATGCATAACACTTTTTTTTTTTTAATTTGCTTTTATCGGGTCACATAACTTTGACCGATAGAGAAACATCAGTCTCCTGTGCAAGAATGTCACTGAATCTGGAGCACGGATCTTGTCATTCATTCTTTGCCACCTCCTCGCCGGCTTGTTTATCAAAAGTCTAAGGTGCTCTTGATGTTCACCCATTCCCAGAATGTATATGTTTTTACGTTTTACAGGACCAAAAGCAACGAAGCGGTGGAAGTCACTACGTGACACTTATGTTAAAAAGAAAAGAGATGTCAGTGCCCCAAGAAGTGGAGCAGGTGCGGACGAAGTTGTCGTGGTCTGCTGGGCATATTTTAAGCGGATGACGTTTCTCAACGACACCTTGGAATATACACAGTATGTAAAATAATTTTTTGCACTTGTTCTCTGTAGTCCTCATAATTATTCATTTGTACTGAACATAACTGCACATGGCTCGACAGACCTCTTTTAACAGAATGAAATATCAGTGGTGAACTATACGCTATTGGCATAGATCTAATGAATGTAGTGGACAGATGAAAACTAAGAAAACGAGCCAGCTCCTGGTGTAGAGTTACACCATTACGTCTCAAAATGTCAATACACAATTCGCTGTCATTGAGGCCTCGTATATGGGTGTCCTGTAATGCGGTTTGTTTCAATGTATCCCAGACAGCTAGAGTCAGTTATGTTTTACCGACAGTGCAAATGCTTGATTTCACTGTGAAAAACAAAGATTGCATGTCTTCAGAAGCATTAAGTGAATGTCTTATAACTGATTCTTGCATGTTTAAAATAGGATCAGCGGAAACTTGCCAGCAATGGAGGACCGGTCACACACAACAGAAGCCTGCGAGCTCTCCCCTGCACAGCTTTTGCTCCAATATATGTGCGATGACACAAGCGCTGATGCAAGCATCCTGCCAGAGTCCCAAGAGCCTATGAATGTGACAGAGCCACCGTGCCCAAGTGCATCGTCAAGCCGTCCATATCCAGTTTCTACTATCGGTATGAATGGTGCACCAGGCGCACCTCGGAAGAAACGACGCACCGAGAAGCCATTTGATAAAGAAATCAACCTGCTTGGCCAACTGGCATGTAAGGAAACAGACTCAGCCGAACACTTCGGCTCAGTGATAGCCGAGAAGCTCCGCCAGTGCCCAAAGCAACAACGGTCTGCCATGGAGATTGAGCTGCTGCAAACTGCGGCAAAGTATCCACCTTGTGAATAAATGAGGAAATACTGTCTTTTGTGGGCTTTACTTTGTCTCCTGTTTGGTCATTTTTGTACACTTAATTTGAGCGTGCAAGAGGAAGAACAGTATTGATGCACTCATGTTCTTTTATTCGAAAACTTTCTTGGCTCTTTTTTACACACTAATTACAATAAAAACTACCACATAGACTAAAAACCTGTAAAGTAAGCAAAGTGCTCCACTTGTCCAAAGATGTTCAGTTGTCTGGCTCTTTTATATCTAGAATCTTCCACTGCCAGGGCACTTTTCCTTCCTTCATGAAGAATTGCGCATAGTGGTGACGCACTGCCTGTGCTGTCTCCTTGCTCCTCCTTGCGTGGGTGGGCTCCAAGTCGAAGGTGGCCGTGTCTGTGGCAGTTTCTTTCCTCCACTGGCCCTCAACAACCTTGCCGAAGGCATCCTCATGGTCTGCAAAGCCCGCAGGGCAGTACGCGGACCGCCCTTCGACTTCAAGGCTCAAGAAGTTGTGCAGAACACAGGAGGCCTTCACAACTTTTTCTGCGTTCTCAGGATTTAGCTTAATGGGCCCCCTGAATATCCTGAATCTGGCAGCCAGAATGCCAAATGAGTTCTCGACGCACCTCCTGCAGGAAAAAAAACAGCATCACATTTGCTAAAAAAAAAAAAAAAAAAAGCAAGCAAATCTGAGGTATGAGTTGCCTGTGTGCAATCTGCCTTCAAAGCAGTTTAAAGTACACACCAAAAGTGGTTGATACACATTATTCTATGCCATCATGTAGCAGCACGAGATCAGCGAGACCAGTCGATATGCCATCGGCAATTCACAGTCAATAGATTACAGGGAAACTCATTATTGGACACCGTACATTTCTTGTTTCTTCAAGCAGCAAAGGCATTCCCTATTCATAGAACTTGATATTGCCGCGCGCACAGCTGACCAACTAGGCAGCGCACCCGTGGCCGAACAGTTATAGTGTGGCTCCCACGCAAAGAGTCGAGGTTCGATACCTAGTAACGGAGGCACGTTTTTGTTATTTTTCTAATTGTCGCGTTCAGGTAAATTCTAGAACTCTGTCGCTTGTTCGAAGTCAGAATGTTCTACGCGCTGAATCTTCTACGCCGGCGTCGCATGAGGCATAACAGACCACCAAGAAGGATGTACAACTGTTCTCGTGACAAACTTTCGCAAGGACCCGCAGCACTTAACAAAGGGTACCACCGTGGGCCACATTGAGGAGCTTCAGGTGCCAGTCGTGGTCACCGCAATCTCTGAGGAAACCTCGCCATCACAGCACAAAAGCGTGTTGCTGCTGCAGCTCGACATCGACCCCGAGCTCCCAGCTCCAAAGCGCTGGCAACTAATTGATATCCCCGCTGAATACAGCGACTGCCTTGCCACGTCTTCGAAAGTTCGCCAAACACCAGTGGCGAAACATCGCACTGTTACCGACGGCGACATGCTCCCTGTCCACCAGTTGCCGTACCGAGTCTCCTTAAAGAAAAGGAAGGTGATTCAAGATCAAGTGCAGGAGATGCTCGACGACAACATCATATAACCCTCAAGAAGTCCGTGGGCATCGCCAGTCGTCCTTGTAAAGAAGGACGGAACCCTGAGGTTTTGCGTGGACTATCGTTGACTGAATGCTGTGACTAAGAACGACTATCCGCTCCCCCACATCGACGATACGTTAGACCGACCGCGCCACTCCCGATATTTTTCGTCGATGAACCTGAAGAGTGACTGCATTGCAGGTAGATTGAATTCGACAAAGGCGAGAAAACTGCCTTTGTCACTCCCGATGGACTGTATGAGGTCAAAGTGATGCTGTTCGGACTTTGTGTAGCACTAGCCACCTTCCGGCGTGTTATGGATACCGTGCTAGCAGGTCTGAAATGGCAGAGCTGCCTTGTCTACCTGGACGATGTCGTGGTATTTTCATGGGATTTCGACAAACATCCGACACGAGGCGACTTTGAGCCGTGCTTCAAGCCATCAAGACTGCCGGCATGTCACTCAAGCCAACAAAGTGTCGGTTCACCTATGGTGAACTAAAGGTCCTTGACCATGTCGTGAACATTGGTGTTCTCCCTGACCCCGAGAACGCCAGGACCCATAAGCAGAGATATACAGGAAGGTAAATTTTCAGACAAGAGAGTTTAAAGTAACACTAGCATGTAATTTAATTTATCTGTAAATGTGCCAAATGAAACGCCTTATGTTGACCCACCGTGCACGGCTCAGTCGGTAATTGAAACAGCGCTCGGCTGGTTCCTCCCTCGACCCAGGATATGGCCTCATGAAGTCGGGCCTCAACTGGAAGGCCTCGTCGCCCAGGAATGTGTACGGCAGTATCATCTTGGAGCCGGGGAGCTGGGCACGGGACGGCAGTCCGAGCAAGCCAGCTTGGAGACGCTGGCCAATTGGGGACCTCTTTAAGACCCCGCCGTCACTCATGCGACCAAGGGCGCCGACATCAATCAGCCGGAAGACATAACTGCTGTCGGCCACTGTCATCAGCACGATAGAGAAAGTGCCCTGAAAAGAAAAAAAATGAGCATGGTACAAGTGCATTTAGAACAAGCCTCGATGTAAACATGTGCAAATTTTAGGGCACAAAATCTGCATGCATTGTAATTTGATTTTAGCTCTTCTTTCTATACCTTGTAATTGTGGTAGAGGCTGCCCGAGTTGGCTGGTGCTTCAACCTGCACATGTTTCCCATCGACAGCCCCAAGGCAGTTTGGGAATTGCCACCGCATCCAATAGGCATCTGCGATGGTTTGCCAGTCTTGTTCACTGGGAGGCTGCAAAGAATAACAAATCACTTAACAATAACTATCATTATATTCCACAAGTACTATTATAGGCCATGTACTCTTTATGCACCGTGAAACTAGTTTTGGCACCAGGTTACGGCACAAAACAAAGTGTTCGTAACTTTAGAAAACTTGGCAACAGGCGGATTTGTTTCCCTAAACATTTCAGACATATAAGCTAAACTTTTGTTATCGTACATACCTTCATGTAACGGGGGGCCAGCTCCTCCCACAACACCCGACACGTCAAGTGAATTGCTTCACGGGCCGTCTCAAGGCCCACCCGGAACTCCATGGCGATATCCATGATGGGATTGCCAGAGCTTAAGTACCTGCACAAAAGATGACCATCTTATAGAAAAATTAATCATTCTGTTTGTTACCTACAATCAGTACAGTGGAATCTCGTTAATTCAAACTCGAATGGGACCAAAAATTTCTTTGAATAATGCGGAGTTCAAATTATAGTTTTCAGATGATAAGACTCGGATGTGACCTGCATGTTAGTTTGAGTTACTGATCTTCCACTGTCCTGATACAGTTTTTATTGCATGTATAATGATTTTAATGCTTCTCCTAACAATAAGGTATTTGAATTTGGATGTGGATTGACACATGGCTTGAATCAAGAACTGGTTGAACTAACTAATCAGTCAAATGAAGTAACCTACTGTCTACTGGAATGCTATGCTGAAGGTGCGAGAGGTGCACCATACTTAATTACAATTTATTTTTTCCACCAAAACAAAAGTGCATTTGTCCCCAGGGCGTAGAAAAGGTTGACATGCCTACTGACCCCTAAGTAGGAAATAAGAAAATGAATGTGTAAATCAATATGGCACGCCACTCGTGGGGAGCTTGTCTAATCAATGCAAAAAATGTGGTGAGTGTAATGGGTTCATGTTGAAAAAGAGCGCGACTGGGACGACGACATACAGAGATGAAGAGAACACAAGACAAAGCTGAAAGCAACGGGTCGACAGCTGAAGAAATAGAAACCAGGTGCAATCACGGCAGTGGTTCTGCCCGACTCATTACCTCAACGTCATCGCCAGGCGCTCGCCGGAGGTGATCGGCTCCCGCACGACGTGCTGTTTCGTCAGCCTCTCGGCACCAAGCCGGTGTAGCTTGTCGAAAAGCTGCGGCGACATGCGGTAGAACCTAAAAAAAAACTGGGGTTCTTGATCTCTCATGACCTGCATCTAGAGTAAACGGAAAAGTTAGTTTCATAGATTTTTGAAGTTAATTATATGGCAAATGTAATAAAAAGGTGCTTACCGCTGTGTAGTATTCGCTTTCAACCTTTCTGTTCAGCCACACAGGACGCACCCAGGGAGATGATCTATGCTCCAGCTGTGCCTGCTTTAGCACAAGCATACTTCTTAGCAGGAGGAGCTTTCGCTTTCGCTCCATACTGGACTAGAGCAAATCTCAGTTTCTGGCAAATAGAGCTTCCACTAAAGTAAACTTCACTTGAACTTCAGCGGAGGAGAGGACGCAACACGAACAACCCGATCAACACACCACTCGCGACGCGGCTGGCTCAGTACGCTGTTTCGTATTCAGCGCAATTCAAAATGTTCAAAAACATTTTTATTGGCCACATAAAAATTAAAAAAGTGTTAGTTTTGCCACAAAAACTCGTTTTATTTACTTATTTGTAACTTTAACTCTTATTTTGTAGTATTTGCGTGAGCAATTACATCGCGCGTTGAGAATTCTGTTATCTGGCAACGCTGATAACGCGCGGCCGGCGGCGCTCGGCTTTGGGTGCATGCGGGTGACCCCGCGTCAGCTTCCGCGCGAGCGTTCATAGCGCGTCGCGTTTTCGCGTGCAGAAAAACGCTCCATGCGGTCTGCGCTTAAAACTTATAGACCAACGCGTGGCCGTGACGTCACGCGGTTGCGGTGGCGCCGTTGTCGGCACGACGCACTCACAGACACTTTGCCCAACGAGGTACATGCGCTTAAGAGATAAGCTGGCATCCGTTCACCAGGCAAAAGTGACCCCCACTTGAATGCCGCCATGTTGTACAATTTTTACCAATAGACACGCGACCGTACCAAATCCTCAGACTTTTACTCAAAGCAGCGGAGATTTACATTGCGTTCTCATGATAAACATGATAAACTATTTTTTCACTACTGTTAGCCCCAGATATCACTATCTAGCTCCGATAAAACCCCGAAATACAGCACCTCGGCTGACGGCATCTAGGAAAGGTATTGCGAAGCAGCCCGAGTCTTTTGTCCTAAAAGCACATTTTGAACTTAAAACAAACGAAACATGAGTCATCTCGTCGGTACTGATAGGAAAGGACAATTAGCAATTATTTCTGCAGGATACTTCGCTAAAATCTAGACGTAAAACTATAAGGTCACGTGTCTAGTGGTCAAAAATGTGCAACATGGCGGCGGCGAATTGGGGGTCATTTCAGCTGCCAGTTTATCGATCTAAGGCCCCCTACGTCGTCGACTTCGCCTCACGCGGATCTGGTTTCGGCGCACGTAGTTTGCTCGCACCAGGGGTGGGATGGTGGTTTTTAAACAGTGCGCTAGGGTATACAAATTAAATCAGTCGATATATGTTCTTATATCTTCTGGCGTGTTCTTGTATGTTTATGGAACAAATTTATTTAATATCGTTGTCTAGAGATGCCCGATTTGGTGCGGTCAAGTTTGTCTTTCAAACAGCTGGACCTAGAAACTCGTAATAAATCACCTCACTCAAGGGTGCAGTCAAAACGCAACAAAGCTGCCACTCTTAACCCGTTTCCAACGTCTTTTTTTTCCTCAGCTAATAACATGCTTAGAGCGATACGGAATATGACTTCATTTTACGTTGGCAATAAGGAACGAAATATTTCCAGGCATGAAAGTACATTACGTGATTATTCTTTAGCCACCAAAACTAATCGAGTTTTCTATTTGTGCGAAGAACAAACTTGCTCTACTCGCCTTCGAGAGAAATATATTTTGTATTATTTATTTATTTATTTATTTATTTATTATGTAGTTGACAATTTTAATATCTCAATTTCAGTATCGCCTTAATTCCCCAAGAATAGTTTTTGAGCATTGAAACCTAAACCTATTCGGACCGGCGTTCCACAAGATAGGTACTGCATTCATGTTTACTAAAAGTAAAAACTAATAATGTGATGAATGTCTAGATCCTACTCTCCAGTGATATACTGACTTTAAATTATGAAATATTCAGCGAGTTGGTAGTACAAAAATAATACATAAACAGCGCGAAAAGACGACGAACGAAGAACAGGAACTGACGAGACACGGAGCGAAGAATTGATGTGTTTTGTGTTTTTTCCAATAAGCATTTAGTTGATAGTCAGCTGTTAATCTTCGTCTGGCGTTTTTTCGTGGTGTTTTTTTCTTCAACATACTAGCTTTGTGCTCTACGCTGACAGTACCAACCTTTTTCTAAAATAGGGAGATCCTGACGACTAATCAGCAACAAAATTGTATTCCTTAGATATAAGTGCTACGAAAACAAAATTTGTTTATTTGTTGCATCGCTGGAGTAGAATAACGCGGTGCAACAAAGTATGTTCAAGTTTTCAGATGCACCATAAGTCCGTTGAATGGAAAATTGGGCCAAAGGTGTATTTCAGAGGCATGGGGAAAGGGGGGTGGGGAGGGGCGACTGCTTTTTTTAAGTTTTCTAATGGCAGCTTTCTTATGGAGAAAACGACATGCATATACTTTTTCATGAAGGACAACTTAGTTTATTGTAACTTGACAAATGCTAGGTTAACAAAATTAATCCGGGCAAAGCATCCGCCGTAAGGACAGCTCTCTCTGCAGAGCTGTCCTTACGAAGCCGTGCTATTATCGGCAGGTCTTTAGGTTCTGTCGACTGTGAAGATTTCGTGACGGCAATCGGCGTCCAGCATTATTGTATTTAAGATACGCGGAAGGATCTTAAAACGCTCATGATACGCCGGAGGAAGGCTCTTCTTGATTAGATGGCTGCGTGAAAAAGCGAGGGGGAATGTTTACGGTGATAATGCAGTTAATGCAATGGTGCAAGCGAGTGTGACGATACTAATCCCTGGAGAAGGCGGAGAGGTTCCTGGTTCGATGCCATGACCAGGCGGAGTTTTTCGGTCGCGCACCAGTCACCTAGCAGTGTTTCGGAAGTTGTGTTTGTCCTTTGTCTACCTTTGTTCGCCCTCTTCAGGGATTATTATTGTCATGCGTGATTAGAGCGTCTGAGATCTCAAAAGCTTACGGTAAGCCGAATGTAAAAGACGGCTTGATTGTACATGTTTATAAGAACTGGTACAACTGATTAACACACGTAAACCGTGATGATTTTTTTTTTTTTCCTGCGGTGTGAAAAACACCCGAGAGCCTAGGCGTGGCATCGTACGTGAGCTTAAATGTTGTAAATCCAGAGTCATGCTTGAACGCAAATTTTATGCTGACGAGAACTGGAAACAGGTTTTGAAGGCAGTAAATAGTGGTTCTGCTGAGCTACGAAGTAGACCTTTCAATGGCAACGCTCTCATCCTGAAGACGACGGAAGGGTACACTGTGGTCAGAATGTATGGAGTTCCAAGAAGCTGCGTAAGTGTCGTAAAAAATGCACGCTGAAAGTGAAGTCCACCCTAAGTTTTTCTCCTCTTTTTATCTTTCTCCTCTATGTTTCTCCTCTTTCTACTCGGATTCATTAGAATGGCATCAGTTACAGCATCTGCTGTGATCTACGAGACTGAGCTGTGGGTGGATGAATTAATCGTATGCGGAGCGCAAGTTCGTCTGTTTCTTGCACAGGAGTTGCAATGATATCAAAACGCCGAACTCTTATTGACTGATTAAAAAAAAATAGAAGGTAGACCTCAAGGCATGTAGCATTGAGGTCTACCCGCTATCCTTCCAGTCAATGCCAGTCAGAGTTCGGCGTCATTGTGACTTCACCGGAACTCCTGCGCAAGAAGCAGACGCCTTGCTCTCCGCATACGAAGCGCAAATTTCTCTGATTCTTTTGCAGGAGTTGGGGTGACGTCAGAACGCCGAGCTCTGATTGGCTCTGAATGAAGGATAGCGGGTAGACCTCAAGACAGCTTGCTTTGAGGTGTGTTCACTATCTTTCAGTCAGAGACAATCAGGGCGGGACCTTCTGACGTCACCACTGTCCCTGGGAAAAAAGCAAACCACTCTGCGCTCCCCATACTCTAGGAGACAAGGACAAGGCCTTCGCCAAACGCTTTACTAAGGGAAAAACATCCTACTCCACTCATTTGCATTAAACGGCGCGCCTACTGCGCCAATGTTTCTCCTGGCGGGTTGGACCTCTCGCCGCGCCGTAAAAAAACAACATTTTCAGCTTTAAAATTTTTGGAAACAAGCTTCGACACATATTGAACGAAATCCTTTATCGACCAAACGGCATGCGGCGCACCATTTGCCCACTGACGCGAAGAACGGATAACCGCGACCTCCATGGGAATAGGTGGTGTCCTCTACCACTCCGAAATCAATGCGAAAAATTTAAGGTTGCTGATTATCCAGCAATTCAAACTGCGCCAAATCTGTCCGCACCAAGGAAATTGTATTATCAAGGAGTCGGATCTACTCTCTCTAATAAAATATTGACCTGCGATTTCGCCCTCCCCACCATCCCCTCCCCCAAGGTTATCACTAGTGGCAGAGTCGTTTATACTGAGATAGTTTGGCCTTCTTAAAAGATTTGGACAGCCTGGCAAGCACAGTAGCGTAGTCTGACAACCGGGGGATGACTACTTCCGTCTGCCATTTTGTGTCTCTGACTCAAAGGAACTCTATGCGATTTCTCAGGAATAAGCGAGACAAAGAAGTAACGCCATTTTTGTGTTACCACGAAATCCGCTGGTTCTTGCTGGCAACAAGATCCGCCTTTTGGCCAGACTTTCTCAGTAAAACAGCTCTGGCTAGTGGGTGGATGCAGCGCCACTTATAACTTCCGCCAGCCTCGCCGCCAGCGTGTCTTGCAGTAGTCTGTGGACGTTACACCAGATGGCGCCACGCGCTACGTCCCGTGACGCATCGGACGCTTTGTAGAACAAGGAGATAATTCATTCCGTCTATATATAGATATGTCACGTATGAATATATTGTTTCTTTGATAACTATACCTTGAGCACGGTAACTCAGATGTACGCGGGACAACAAAGTATGGTGAGCGGAAAGCATTTTAGGA